AAAGGTTGTTGAAATTAATCTCTCTATCGATAGTACTTGAACCGAACAATGACAGAGTCAGACAAGTGAATATACGTAAATTTTGTTTGATTGTGTATATGACTGAATACTTGATAGGGTGAGTGATATGCGTGTAAAGTAAATTTGAAGAGTGCATGATGTTGAGATGTGACTTGACCTGAGATGGGTGCTATTTTGTGCCAAAGCATACACTTGTATTGAGTGTTCAGGACACTCGACCTAGTTTTTGTTGTTTGAATAAATGTGAAATGTTAGTATGATGACTGCTACCTATTCTGAAGCATATCACTGAGTTAAAATATAACACCTAAAGGAAGAATGTCCCAAATTGTTGTCAAATTTTCACCTTCTGAGAAAAATGAGGTTTCATTGTTATATTCTGTACAGGATGGAAGAAAACAGTCGAGATTGAACTGGAGTCGCTTGCGAATTTCGATTTATTCCAACAATTCATTTTTCATATAGTTCATCAAGATCGATAAACTAAAGATAATACTTACCGCACACATAAGTAAATCTCTTTTACGACGAGTGATATAAGTTTAGTTATTATTGGGTACTTCGCATCGGATTCACACGTGCTTTGCGAAGTTAAATAACTACCCCGGTTGTTCTTATTACTCTATTTTGCACGTTCAATCAAATGGTATTTCATTGCAAATCCCTAGTTTATGATCATACATGAAACAAACGTTCACCACAAAATACTGATTGATATTCCCTGTGCAACAGAACTAGTTTTATTTTGTTATCGTGAAATAATGACATTAGTTCTAGAGTTTAGTCTTAAGCCTTTTTTACAATGTGTCGAGAAAATGTGAGGAATGTCTTAAAAATATGACCTATCTGAAGACAGAACTTCGTTCTGCTGACCACTTGTAAATGACGACATTAACACATTTCGTCGACTGTTTTTCGTTCATTTCCTATTCATGAGTAAGTAGGTGATCATTTCGCATATTCGCAACGTGAGGTTTACGGATTGTTCAGAATTAAAGCGTACTTATACAATAACCAAGTGATTTAGAACAAAATGAAAGAACGAGATAGTTTATTATTTTGTGTAAATTTTATTTGATTAAGGAAAAATAACTGAATAGGCAGGTGGGTGAATGAGTGATATATGTGCGCAGTAGATTTGATCTTGGCTCAGTAACTACCTTGGTAGCAGATAGTTTCATACCAAATTAAATGGAGTGCTCGTGAGCCGGCGATTGTCCACATCGGAAGTTTCACAAGGCTACATCATGAATCCATTTTTCTTCATGCAATTCTCCAAAGGCCAAGTGAACGTGGTTGCGTTGATTGACGCAGGTGATATGTGGGTCCATTAGAAGGGACCAGCATTCAAGTTAGCTCCATAAGAATCTTAAAACCGATTTAGGGATTATCAGTAAAAACCAGTTTAAAATCAAACAAGCCAAAAAGTCTAACCAGCTGCAACTATAAAGAGGACGCAGCGAAGGAAGTTGCAAGAGCTCATACTGATCTCTTTTGACCATGTCGGTTATTAGCCCATAACGTCTTTACCCATTATTTGACTAGAAATTCCTCATCATGCTTAATCAGGTTGTGTTGATACCCTATCCTTCTACACTTTGCTTTGTTTGTATGCTTTTCCTCATCAATTCAAGTGAATGATTGTCTGAAATGAACTTATTCAACCGAATCCGTATTTGACTTCTTATTAGCAACGTAGCACAATCTCTGTTCTCCTAAGTCTAGTATACGGAAATTGATGGATAGGGCCGTTTTGTAGCAAACTCAGTAAACGGGCTTTCAAAGCTGTTAACCAGTCGCGGAATTCAACCCAACCAACAAGACTACATTGAAAAACAGCTCCGGAACTCAATGCATTCAATGAACAAATAAAGAATCACGCTTGATGACCGAAGCAGACAGCAGACTCTCGTAACTGTCGAAAGCATTGACTTAACCTCAGTGGTTATACGAAGAATCATCGGAAAACCGGTTTCAACCATTTTAACTCGGCCCCTGGAGTTAAAAAGGCTTCTTTCAGCCTAATTATTATGTCTTCTGAGGAACGTTGATTCTCTTCGGAAGCTGCGACGTTGATGCCCTTTCTGTTAGACAGAGAAACCATTCTTTCAGGTACATGGAGATTTCAAACATTGTCGGAGTCCGAAATACTGTTCTTATTTGCTTCAGATATGAAAAGATACAACCTAGATTAGCTTGTTTTCAGCTCAACAGATTAGACGTGAATCAAGCAACTAAGAATAGCTCAAGGAAAGCTGCTGTTATATTTCGGTGAAGAAGAAAAAAATGCCTCACACATACGTAGAGTCACACTGATGCTTTAAAAACAAGCAAACGAGTCACTAATGGTATGGAGAACTAATAGATTCAAGATCGTAAAAACATCCTTCAAAACAAAGAAAGAAGGCACTAAAATGGACGTCATCCAATGCTATCCACCTAAAAGCGACTTCAATGACAACGTGAAAGTATAATACAATGACAGACTGCAGTCAATCGTTTGACGATGCTAATCAAAGAATTGAATCAATTTTGATGACAGATCTAAATGTAAAGATTAGCATGAAAAACACTGATTATGAAGACAACATTGGATGACCTGAACTTGGAGAAAGTAAAAATAATGGTATCAGATTTGCAAACCTGTGTGGTTTCAACAAACTGGTCTTCGGAAGCACAGTATTTACATAATCACACAGTGATACACAGGTTTCACCGAATCACAATACTCAGAAACAAACTGACACTTTAGAAGGAACATGGAGGACATGAAAATCAAGAGAGTAGCTGACATTGCCTCAGATTACCTTTTGCTGGTCGCCAAATTTGAGCTGATAACTTCACAAACGTTCGTTGCTGTTTTACTTTCGGGATACTAGTAAGCTGAAAGAATTTAGGATAGCCATCAACAATAGGATTAAGTCCTTGCTTGATCGACGCAGTGGAGAGAAAACAAGCTTGGAGAAGAGTCAGAAAAGGACCAAAGAGGCAATCACATCAACATGTCAGGAGATCCTTGGCTACAAGTAGTACAATTACAAAGAATGGATCTCTGTTCATATACTTCTCGAATCTCTGACACCTTTTTTCATTTGATAATGACATTGTGAATGTATATTGAAGCAATTATTTATTTTAACCTGCCTCGTTACCATGAGAAAATTTTATGATCAGAATGGTTCTGAAATGAATTTGAATTTTTGCAGGTTAGGTTGAAGTGGTTTGGGAGGGCTAGTGAATTGTTCCAGTTTCTTTATTCACTACATAACTGGACTTTATAGAATTTTTAAATTGAAGCAGGCTCAATATTATCAGAGGTTGCGAAGTGCCAACAAAACATCTCACTTGAGACAGTTAACGAGTTGTTATTTATGGGCAATAAGGTTTGCCACAACTTCAAATAATCTGTGGAAAAGCCAACGATCTAGAATAACTATAATTCTGGAAAGAAACAATTAAGAATAATTTATTCTAGAAGCGATTCCAAGCAATCCAATCAATCGCCTACACTTGAATCTTAATCAAACAAAATCGTTCCATCGAAATGTGAACAGTATCATTGAAAGTGCGTAACTACCGTATGAAAATCACTCTTTACAAACAAATACGAGGGCAAGTGCGCTCAAAAGTCGATCAAGTTTACACCTTCTTTCAAAGAATTATTCATGCTAAGTTGACTCACATCTCCAAATCACACACGCTCTTTAAACCTAGTGCAAACATATATCACTCACCCACCCGACTGCCTATTCAGTTATTTTTCCTTAATCAAATAAAATTTACACAAAATAATAAACTATCTCGTTCTTTCATTTTGTTCTAAATCACTTGGTTATTGTATAAGTACGCTTTAATTCTGAACAATCCGTAACCCTCACGTTGCGAATATGCGAAATGATCACCTACTTACTCATGAATCGGAAATGAACGAAAAACAGTCGACGAAATGTGTTAATGTCGTCATTTACAAGTGGTCAGCAGAACGAAGTTCTGTCTTCAGATAGGTCATATTTTTAAGACATTCCTCACATTTTCTCGACACATTGTAAAAAAGGCTTAAGACTAAACTCTAGAACTAATGTCATTATTTCACGATAACAAAATAAAACTAGTTCTGTTGCACAGGGAATATCAATCAGTATTTTATGGTGAACGTCTGTTTCATGAATGATCATAAACAAGGGATTTGCAATGAAATACCATTTGATTGAACGTGCAAAATAGAGTAATAAGAACAACCGGGGTAGTTATTTAACTTCGCAAAGCACGTGTGAATCCGCTGCGAAGTATCCAATAATAACTAAACTTACATCACTCGTCGTTAAAGAGATTTACTTATGTGTGCGGTAAGTATTATCTTTGGTTTATCGATCTTGATGAACTATATGAAAAATGAATTGTTGTAATAAATCGAAATTTGCAAGCGACTCCAGTTCATTCTCGACTGTTTTCTTTCATCTCGTATGGAATATAACAATGAAACCTCATTTTTCTCAGAAGGTGAAAATTTGACAACAAATCGGGACATTCTTCCTTTAGGTGTTATATTTTAACTCAGTGATATGCTTCAGAATAGGTAGCAGTCATCATACTAACATTTCACATTTATTCAAACAAAAATAACTAGGTCGAGTGTCCTGAACACTCAATACAAGTGTATGCTTTGGCACAAAATAGCACCCATCTCAGGTCAAGTCACATCTCAACATCATGCACTCTTCAAATTTACTTTACACACATCTCACTAACCCAATCAAGTATTCAGTCATATACACAATCAAACAAAATTTACGTATATTCACTTGTCTGACTCTGTCATTGTTCGGTTCAAGTACTATCGATAGAGAGATTAATTTCAACAACCTTTATCTCGCAGACAATATAAATGCAATCTGTCTACACACAACCATTAGGCTGCTGTTATTATCACTCTCTCTTTTATATACATTTCGTTATCGGGTATTGTTTGTTCATACACAATGGTGAGTGTAGAATATTCTAAGTTGTTCATCTCGTGTTTAGGTTTGTTCAATTATAGTTTTGTCCATACTGATGACGATTGCGTGTTGGGATGATTCAGTGAATGGTGAGATTCCGTCTTCGGAAAACGATGTTGCTCCAATTCATTTGAGTGCAGGTATGTTATTGGACATGTTACGTATTTCACTAGATTCTCATTCATACTTTACGCATCGAATTACATCGTCTCACTATTTTTCCTTACACTAATGTACTAACCAGTCGTTTCAATGATTATTTTGAGGATGGCTTATATTTGTTAGAACTGGAATATAGTAATGCATATTGTATATTTGATTGTGTATGTGCGTGCTTACTTGTTTGGTACATGTTTAGTCTATTATTGCCTGACTAATAATACTTAGTCATACTTCAGAGCATAAGAGTTGGTGTACTAGCCTTACACAATTGACTTCGTTGTGCTTGTACTTGATTAGTTCTCATGTCTGTCTGCCTCAAGTAAAGTATGAATTAAGTTCATCTGCAAATATGTATTGTGCCTCATCATAACTTCCTGCTGATAAATTCTGTTATCTTCAATTTGATATACGGATATGAAAATTGTGGTTCTATACCTTTCACAGTCAGGCATTGCTCCTGCTTAATTGAAGTGTGATGTTGATCATTATTTTCTGATTATGATTTATAATATTGATGATCGATTTATTTGCAGGAATGAGTAATGATGGTGATCGTGATTCTAGTTTTACCAAATGGAGACCAGGAAATCAGCACGGACGCAGGGAGAAAAGGTTTGGTTTAATTTCTTCTAATGCATATGGGCGTGGCTAATCAATTTATTTTAATGGTGAGATTCAATTATCCACCACCAAATGTGTTTATTTTCAAAATGGCTCTTTTAATAAATATTGTTGGTTAAAATCAGTCTTGTTGTGTTTCGTTTTTTCAAAGGAAACCGGTGATAAATCTGTGATCATCAACCTACTTGTAAAAACAGAATTGATTCGGGGCATCGTTAGACTGAAACACTGTCAAAAATCATTCATATAATTAACCCGAATCGTATTTCCGCCAGAGTGCTGTGGATTTTGCTGAGATGCGTTTGTTCCTCATGAAGCGGAATACAAAAACGTTAGTTTGCAGAATTTGAGAGATAACATATATAGTCCTGATATTAGTCTTTGATTTTGCTGCCAGTTTTGCCGTTGTTTTCCTGAATGATATAATTAATCAAAGAGACTCAGTAACACTGCAGATGAAGTGTGCATATTACTGCGATTTCGTAAGTAGGTAATCGCAATGTCTGCAGATGTTGAAGGAAAGTTAATGCAAGTGAAAGTGCCTGAATTCAATCGTGGTGGGGGGTGGGGCTTCAGTATCCATGTGGTGGCAGGAGCTAGCTGAGTCGAGAGAACCATTCGAATTTCAAATGACCTCTCATCCAGTTACTGCCGCATCATCTCCGTTCGGTGCGAACATTGCCATGAATAAGACAGCTCAAACATTCCTTGATTGTTATGATTGTTATATCGTAGATGCTCTCAAGAACAATTTCTATGTTGACAACTGCTTGATATACTTTTCGACTTGTGATCAAGCAAAGAATATCGTTAGATAGATAAGTGAATTGCTATGAGGAGTAGGTTTTGAATTAAAGAAATGGATCACTAATTTGGAAGAAGTAAGGACCGTCTTGCCTGATGTATATAAGGAATCGTCTTTCATAGAAATGTCAACACATAAAAATGCCAATCATCAAACACCAGGTGTAGAATGATTTATAAAACGAGATGTACTTTACTTTTACTTTGATGCACCGGAAAATACTTGGACAATGAGAGCGATTCTATGGGTTGTTTCGTGCTGGTTCGATTTTTCCAGTCTAATAGCCCTAATCTGCCTTACTGAAAAACTGCTGTTGCAAAATTTATGTGAATCTCAAAGAGGATGTGATCAGCCTCTAGACGAGCCAAATGTGTCCATGTGGCTAAATTGTAAGAATTATATGCGTCAGAAGGGTCATGTTACGGTAGCTCGAGGGATCAAAATGCGAATCATTGAACCTGATGTGCAAGTAGAAATACATTTTTTCAGTAATGCCGCATTTGCTTACGCGCGAGTTATTGATATGAAGTAACCACCATACTCTATCTCGTTTTACAGCAAGTTCACGGTAGATCCTATCGAGTAGGTCACTACACTGGTGTTTGCGTTTACGGCTGCCGTTGTAAGTGTAGGGTCAAGTGTAGTCCGACGGAGGATTTCACCCTAGCCTCTCCAAGTTGTAAGACTGATAATATAAAGAACATGTCAGACCAACATCTGATCATGCACACAAATAATAATTATCCAAGTGCTAGCTTGTGATGCTTAGAAGTATATGAATCAAGAATTAAAGATATGCACAAACGAATGTATTGTATTTGGAATTCGAAATCAAGCATTCAACAACAACAAGAAGTTACTAGTTCATTCAAACACCACATCCGCCACAGCTTAAATTGGAATGTATATGTCTGTAATCAATCGTACGTCTTCTTCTCAAATTCATCCTGTGTCTGTCCGATAGTGTATTGGATAAAGGCTCTGTATTATCTAGAATGCTCTCATTGGAACAGACTCACCTGGTTCTTGGAATTGTATTTGATCAACATGTCGATTGTGTGTACTTAAGTCATTGATATCTAGAAGTCGCACCATAGATTTCCCGACATTCTCCAGAACAATCCCCGTGGATGGTCGAAGATCATTGCCACGATAATATGTAACTTCTGCAGACTCCAAACATCTCATATTCGACCGAAGAATTCTTCCTTTTAGTAGTTTTGATGGAGTCTCTTTCGTCACCGAATGTCTGGCACTTCTATATTGCAGTAGAAAGGTATCTACTCCCCTATCCAGCTCATTAAATGTTGAGGCGGCAATAGAATCAATAGCAGTTTTCATACCTCCACTGCACTTAGCACACGTGGCTATCAAATCAGAATTTTCTTTAGAAACTAGGAGAGACAACTCCACTTTAAGCCTTTTCGAATTCTTTAAACCCAGTATTGACAGTCCCGTTTCGCTAACTAAGAATTCACATGGTATGTATGAGGAATTATCATCCCTTATTAGCAATTCACAACATCCTCGTATAGTCAGTTTGTGTCCAGTAATCCCCAATATTGATACTTCAGTGGGTCGTATCACAACGTATCACATAGGTGCACTGCTCAACCACGAAATCCTGAAATTATTAGTGAATTTGGAAATGGAAGATTTTTCACCCCACACCCTATCCTGAATACCCAGGATTTTATTCACAAAAGCTCTGAGAATGAAAACTCTATGCATCCCACTCTACCAAGCCAAGTGGTGAACATGACCCCTAAATTTAGAAAAGGTCATAACAACTTGCACTCGTATATGGCAAATCCTCCTCAAGTTACAACAATTCCGTATAAATTTAACCTTAGTAACGAGCTGTGTCATCAAGACATTACCAGAAACGGCGGTGAACTGCAATGCCAGCCGAGTGGTAATTTGTTTTAGATACAGCCACTTGTGGTTCCTCTTGCGCGACATATAGCTCAAGTCATTTCATACCACATACAGGATATAAAAGCACTCTCCTCGCACAATCTCAAACAGACAACATTCTCCCCATTTCCCCCGGGCTAGCAACCCCGCCTATCGATTCCAGTAATTTATTTAACATGTCCCTCCATAACTCCTCATACCACACTCACGTAGGTCATTGTAATTCCTTTACTCAAGATACCACAGACTATTTTAGATCTGCCGGACATTCGTTCAATATATGTCTTATTATTACTCGTTCAATCTGTAATAAAAAGACAAATCTAGTCATGTTAACTACTATCTGCCAACCGTCACTTAAAATGATAACTGAGGCATCGACCTGTAGTAATCTTTCTGATCCTACTATATCACTTGAAAACTATGATCTGTTCCGAAGTGATAGGTTACAAGGAACTGGTGGAGGATGCCTCATATATGCCACTGTAGTCTAATCTCATTCTCATATGATATATCGGAATAAAACAGATTGCCAGATTCTGGGGGGATCGTTCTGAAACCCTCAAATGCAGTTTGCTTACCGTTCGGCTGTGTCTCCCGTCAGCCAAACGCACCAACAGGATATCTAGCATTATTCCCAGAAGTATTCACGTTTGTTTCATCCCTACCGTTTACAAGCAAGGCTATTTGTGGGGACTTCAACATGCCTGAAATCTCTTGGTTCCCAATCAAAGCACCTAGACGATCGGAATCATTTATCGAATGCTTGGAGCTTAGAGAGTGAAATCAACATGTTAACGGCTCACCAACCAGAAATGAAAATACATTGGACTAAGTTTTCACCAGCAATCACATTCCTCACACTTTATATGTTGGAAAAACGTTCCCAGGTAGCGATCATAATTTGGTTATATGCAGCCTTGATATAGGAGCTACAACTGTCAAATGTAAATCCACTACACTTCGTAGGATTGATTGGTCAAATGCCTCACGAACTACTTTACCGCACACAATATCGACGAACTAATGAATGTATTTTATCACAACACAGATAACATTTTCAGTAAATTTGCACCCGTAAGACCCTGGACACTCAGAATTCCTAACTACTTATATATGCCAGGTCATATACGAAAACGTCTTCGAGGACATGCCTCCAGACTTCATAACTGTGATGAACTTTAGCAACGATCTTTAGTAAAGATAACTGAAATACGTTTCGAGGCAGAAATAACACGTACTAATAAGGCAATCGCACAGGAAAAGCGTGCTGTTCAGCTGAACAGTTTTTGTAATGCTTGCTTGAATGATTCCTAGCTGAATCCTATTGCTTAGTATTCTCTGACCAAAATACACAGGACAAGTCCCAAAGAATCAAAAACACGGTTGAACAGGAAAAGATTATATTCCAAATAGCAAGATTAAATACAAATAAGAAGCAGAAAGCGAAGGCAAAAACAGATAGAACGTTAGTTTATTCATAACATTGCTTGATCCTCAATGCAGGTGATCAGTCAGTGATATGTTATATCTATATTCATTTTAATTGTGTCAAATGACAGTCATTATCAACGATGTTTTTTAAACATTAAAACCTTATAAATGAGATATATGGAAATACTATATTTGGAGGTATAATTTTTCATTGCGAAAAATGAGTTCGCTTTCGCAATAACACATGTTCACATTTTTCGAGGAATCTAGTGGATAAAGTAGAGACTAGTCAGTGTCAAGCCTGCTCACTCAAATTCAATCTGCAACCAGCATTTCTTTCAATTCCTGCGCCAAACTAGTCGTCAAAACCAGAATGAGTATAATACGCTTGCATGTTGAGCAAACAAGACATTTATATGTTATTGAGAAAGTGAGCGTGCATTATCAGTGGAATAGAGGAAAATCGAGGGACGTTTAGTTTGAAACGTTCTGGGGAAACGCTAGACATCCATAATTATTAGGAATTTAAAAGAAACACAGGCAACAACTAGTTTTTGAATTACGCAGTGACAATGTGCATTGGAATAGCACGTCTGAATCATTTGAAACATGAAATATGTATTTGTACAAAGGTCGCTTTATACATTCAACAAAATGACCAGTCATCTAGACATGCATAACAACACAGGCGCAAGACGTCGCTTTATTCAGAAGAGAAACAGTCGTATCTCAAATGAGATGTAACAAACTCGCTGTATGCAACACACGTGAGAACGAGTCGATCATGTTCACTGAATTTCTGTAGGAATGGCAGAAGAAAGCGTTTTTCAATCTTGGTCGTCATTGTTGAAATCAAGAAGCACAAGAGTGAATGT